AATTTTATTAAGCTATGAGTTATAACAACATCTGATTGTATTATTATAATTCTTTAAAAGATGAAAATTTATTTTATATCGTTTATAGAATTAAATAGTTCTTCAAAAATGCAGTTGACTGGGATACATTTTATACCCTAACGATCGATGGAAATGTTATTGGCACTTTAAAAATTATGCCAATTGGAATAAAACCTTGACTCAAATTATTTTTTTTTGACTTATCTCCGATTTTGCTGACAGACGAATTTAATTAGAAAATAAACATGAAAAATGGGATTCAATTTGTGAATATCGAACATTAAATGAGAGTTCCATTGATTGGAAAATATTTTCATTTCAGTGGCGTACCGTAGTGGGGGCGGCAAAATTTCACAATAAATAATAATATCTTGTAAAAATTTGAAATATCCTAATCTATACTTGCATCGCGCCTACGATAGTGTTATCGTCCGGACAGTCCGGGAATCGGCTCGCCGTCCGAATGAACTAGTAATTTTTTCATCCGAGGAAATCCTGCGAAACCTGTTGACCTTTTCTTTTTTTTTTTTTTGCTTGTACGATTCCTTCGCGTTCATACACACCACTAATATCCAATAGAACTATTTTAAACAGGTCGCTGCACTACCACCGAATTTTTCATTGCTTGTTCTGTGACAAAACTGAATTTTGGTCTTTTAAATTGAAATACCTAAATAAGGGGGGCCGAAATTTTCCTCCGCCCCGGGCGGCTGACACCCACGGTACGCCATAGTTTCATTTCAGATTCTCTCTGACATACTTATTAAGTCGAACGGTCAAAATTTCCCAGCGAAATTTCTGCAACATTTGAACAGTTTGAGATGCAGTGTGAAGTTGATCATCGATCTTTCATTTTTTCCCCCTCTTATTTCAAAACAAATCTTACTTTAAAAACTCGCGTCGTATTTAAAAACATTATTTTTATACATTGTTACATTAAAAGAATTGTCTTGCTAGAATTATATCTACTACTGTATTACATTTAACTGTTGTGTCATGATAATTAAAATGTAAGTAGCAATTTTTTGCCGTGGCGCTCTCATTCAACAACGAAATACTAATTACGAAGTTTAATTAATAAAAATAATACACTCCTATTACTGAATACTGTATAAATGATGATGATAATAGATTTCGTAATGGTCTCTGCCATATTCTGAAACTACAATAATGGTATATCATAAGGGATAACTAGAATGGGAATTGGACCCAGCAAAAATTTGATATTTTATGTAATGGTTTGAAATTTTACACACATGATGACTTAACACGGTCCTAAACAGACCGTTTGAATATAGATAGTAGTATAATATTCTGTTATTGAAAAACTGCAAAATTTAGAGTTGGTCTGTAGTTCTATATCCACGATTTCTATCTGCATATATATGACTAGCAGACCCTCCACGCGTTGTTGTGGCTCAAAATGTATCTATTATAAATGAATAACACTTTCTCCATGGGGGAATTTTTCGAAAAATTCTTTCTTAGTGTACATTCTCTTGACGTACCCTATTAAAATGCAATCAAAAACGCAAAAAACCGCATCTAAAATAGTATAATAGAAGCAGATTCTTTACGGCAGTGTTCCGCAACTGGTGTGCCGTCACAATATGAAAGGTGTGACGTGAACTTTTACATATTCTACTAATTTCAAGTTTTATTTATATATTTTTATCACAGTTGTATTTCTTGTGTTTGTATTTCATTGACTGAGGAAATAAGATGATGTTAAAGCAATAAACACATATGTCGTCCCAATAATCACTTATTCTTTTGGAGTTATACATTGGACTCACACAGATCTTGAGCAACTCCAATGAAAACAAGAACACCACTTACTAAGTATGAACATCATTATCCTGAATCCGCCATAGAAAGATTAACCCTTCCACTTAAAGACGGCGGACGTGGCCTGATCGACATAGTTAACCTCTACTATAAACAAATACAGACATTGCGAGAGTTTTTCTACAGGAAACAAGAAACATCACAATTACACAAAGCAGTAACTCTAGCAGTAACTATTTCGACATGTATATTATATAAAAACACGTGCGTATTCGAATACAACGTAGTGTCAAAATTTCAAAAAAAATCGGTAGGAACAAACGAACATTACATTATTATTTATATAGATAGATAGATGATGATCTGCTTTAGTTCCTCCCAGAAAAGCAAACTTAGGTCGTCGTACTCGTAGCGCCATCTGTTGGACATAAAAGCCTTAACCTAGATGATATCTTTTAATTTATATGAATGTTTAACAGAATAATATACAATCTGTACCAATACCATCTGTTGGACATAAAAGCCTTAACCTAGATGATATCTTTTAATTTATATGAATGTTTACCGGAATAATATACAGCCTATTTCACCCTGAAGTTCCATTCTAAATATTGGTGAAAGAATTTTTGAAATCAGATGAGTAGTTTCGGAGATTACCCGCTACATCCAAACTTACAAACATTACCTCTTTATAATATTAGTATAGATAAGTCAAAAGTCCCCGACCCTTTTCGTAGATGTATTTAACCTCTCGATGACGAACTTCCTGTCAAAATCCGTGTGAGCAATTATCTATATCTATAATAAAATATCTATAATAAACGGATTTTGTAAAGGACTTGTGTCATCTCTGTCTCCAACACCACACTCGCATGCTGACAGCCCCTAGACCAGGGGTGGTCAACAGTTTTTGCCCCCGGGCCGAATTGGAAAGAAAACTTTTTTCACGAGCCGATCCAGAGGCTGCCCTAGGAAGATTTTGAGGTGATGCGAGATCTCATTGTGGTGTCACCTCGTAGAGACTATATTGTAGCTAGAGATTACAGATACATTTTTCACATTATCATGCTTTATCAACATTCTACGCTGTACTTACGAGATTAGTAATGGAGGGTTAACTGTAAACGCACAGTGAGTTGCTGACCTTTCTTTTTGGGCGTCAGAATTTTTCATCGAGCTATTCGGACTTCAGTAACTAATATTGAAAGATTGATCGCGGGCCACATAAATTCATTAGACGGACCGTAAGTTGGCCATGCCTGCCCTAGATCCTGACAACAGACTAACTGATTCCCTCTGTAAATCGGCAAACTCACACAGGTGTTGGATAAATGGGATTGTAAGTCCCCGATCTCCACTAGCGTCGGCTAACTCACATTACCTATACTCATTAAAAAGTTAAAACACAAGTGATCATGAAAATGATTTTCAAGGTCAAGAAAAGAGGTTCTGACCAATTCTCCATGTATGGCTTTTTATGTAACTTCATTAACAGAACATATTTTCGGCAGTGGTGCATTTAGAAATACGGCATTCAATATCCAGGCATACCAAAACTACACAATGCTACTTTTGCACGATTCTATTTCGTAATTTTAATTCTGCAATAACCATTTTTTAATTTATTTTTATAATACTTTTAGATTTTTAAATATGGAATATGGAATTTAAATATTGTGCACCTAGGCCCGGGCTAAGTAGGCCCAATGAATAATCTGCCATTGATCTTTAGTTTTGAAATGAAAAAGTGAATATTACTGTTATAGATATTTAAATTAGTTTTATGATTAAAAAAAAAAAAATGCATTTACTACTTCGGATTTAATTTTTCAAAATAAGTAATTTAAAATATATACAAACACCAGATCAGTTTGGATTATTGAATTATAAAATTTAAGCAAATTAACAGAAAATTATGAATTACAAGCAGGAATTGATCAGTTTTTACATTTATACTTTATTACTACTAAAGGCTCAATTACATTGAGCTTAGTTTAGTAGACAGTCCCTGATGAATTTACTCACTGCCATTAAACTCACTCAATGCAATCAGTTTGGCTAGTAATCTCGCTCAAAGATTTATTCAATCAAGTGAACTTGAAGAGCGGGCTACTTTTCTTGCTACTCGTTCGCAAGTTTACTCTCTGACTAGGAAACTCACTTTGTAATAATGTGCAACGAGTAGATCAGTCCGTAGATAAACATCTACTGGCTGAAGTAGCTCATGTGGAAATTTTAGCTGTTGCTTGTATTTTAAGAAATAGACTTCAAGAGGTAGTGGAATAAAAAAGAATAATGACAATTTTCTTCGAGAGATATAATAAATAATTATTTAAGGAATCTAAATTGTTTCTTTCAGAATTACGTATAGCTTATTTGAGAAAAAAGACAATTTTTTATCTGAAGGATAAATATTTTAAGTTTAGAGTCAAATTAAAATTAAATTTTAGACTATGTGATAATATGAAACATTGTAAAGAATATATTTTATTACTTTTTAGTATAGTCTTCAAAGTGAAGTAAATTTGCTTACTCCCCATTCATTCTTTTGCCAGTAGCTAATAAACACACCCAAAGTAATTGAACTCTAAGCAAAAATATCATGCGATAATTCTTTAGCAGTGAAATATCCTAGCGATTTTTCTTAAGTAATCAGTTCTGGAGTTTGCTTTTCTATCTCAATAATACTAACTGGCCACTACGAATTAACCCACCCATAAAAATAAATGAATCTAACAGACTATACAGTACTAAGCTAATACAGTTAATATTAATATATAGTCAATACATGCCATAGTTAATATTATTAACTATGACATATTGATGTGCCTGTAAAAATCCAATGTAATCTTAAATATCGACTTAACTTCCACATTAAGATCTCTATTAAAATATTAATATTTTCTAACTATAGATGTATTAGTATTATATTAATAATTCATGCATTTTTAGCAAGAAGAAAAGAAAGTTAACAGACCAAAAAATTGAAAGTCAGATATGAATTAAACTTATAAAATCATAAAAATGCACTACATATTAAATTCTTAATTTCATAAATATAATATGTTTTAAAAATTTTTCCATTCTTTAGAGAGAAATAATTCTGTATTTTATACAAAAAAGTAATATGCTTTATTTTAAGAAATAAGACTAAACAAACTGTATTTTCAAATTATATATATTTAAATTATAATTAGTAGTATACATTTATTAAAAATTTTTTTAGTACCAAAACAGGTTAATAAAAATATTAGACAATAATACTTAAACAATTTTGTACTTAACTCCATTCTGACTAGACAACATTTTTCTGTACTTTAAGCTCATATAAGAGGTTTAGTATAATTACTTTGGAATAAAATAACTTCAGATAAGTTTTCATCTATATACAAATGATCACATTTAAAAAGTTACATTATAACTTTTGCAGAATATTTTATATATATATATATATACATAACAATATTTCTTATTAAAAGTAATAATAAATATACAAATAAACAAACAGTTATTTTGTAAATGCTTAAATAACTGAGGATTATGCTTGACCAATTTATTCCAGAAATTGCACTAAGGAGCTGGAGTATTGATTTATCAGAATTCGTTATATTCCTTGTTAACTAGGAATTATTATATATAATATTTTGTTTTCTATATCAAAAGATAAATTCCATTATAAAGGCACTTTTAATACTGATTTGTGACTGTTTATTTTTAAATAAAAATTCATTTAAAATTAAATATTCTATTAAAAATATATTTTGTCATAGCCAAACCAATATGTATGAATTTAAACGTTTGAGAAAAATCAATACAGTTAGATTTCAATTTAATTTCTGTATATTTAAATTAGACAAGTGCTGAGATATGGTGATGATGGTCGATGCGCTATAATAGAAAATATAGTATTAATATATAGTATAAAGCATTACTATTAATTTTCATACTACATATAAATAATGCATTACCTCATTAAATTGATGTTTTGTGCTTTTAGACATTTTTGATGAATTATCTGTGGATGGAGGAGGCAATGAGGGTTGTGTTGGAATACTTGATAAAAGACCTACATAAAACAAATAATATTCTAAATATTACTATTTTAATTAACTTTGTCTGTTTTTGCTACTTTATGCTTATAAAATTCCCTCACCAACCCCATGATACTGGTTGAGTTGCTGATATACTTGTTTCATTCTTTCAAGATTAATTCTGCTCACATCTTGATGATTAACAATTGGTAATGGATAATCTTTGCCAATTATACATTTTACTGCAACCTGAACTTTTTCTGGTGCTGTCCAGGGCTCATGAAGATATTTTGTGGGAAAGTTTTTTAATACTGGTAAGTATCGCCTATAATAAAATTTTGATTGCATTTTAAGTAATTGAGATAGTCTTTGGATTACTGCATTAAGATATACATATAATTTGTACAAAATAGTTATATATGTAAACATTAATTCATTTTTATTTTACCTAATATAATCTCCATTTGGATCTGCTTTACGACCAAAACGAACAGGACAATAAAGATGAAAAAACTGCTGGAAGAATGAACTGCATGATAACCACATCCAAGATCCAGCATTTACACTCCAATCAGCATCTAATAATAATTCTTCAAATACCTAAAATATGGAAAATAAAAAGTCTATTATAACTAAAAACTTTAATTTTTAAAACTTTCATATTAATTATGAATACATACCTTCATTCCTTCTTCCCAACTTATCCAAAGATCCCCTCTTGTCAGAAAACATGCTACAGCATGTCTAGCAACATGATGAATCCAACCTTCTTCTCTCAACTGACTCATAATTGCATCAATCCATGGAAATCCTGTCTGACCCTAATAAGATTTATTATTTTTAAAAATTTGGATAATGTTGTTTTAACTAATGTTTTAAAACAATAATAACGTTAAGTGTAACTTACATTTGCCCATTTTGCTAAAGCTTCAGGATTAATATCCCAAGGAATCTGTACACAAATTGGATTGTTTAACATTCTATCAAAATTTGGATTGTTTGTTGCAGAGCAATAAAAGAACTCTCTCCAAAGAAGCTGGCCATGAAGAGATAAAGGAGGATTTGCTTTTTTAATCTGTATAAAGAGCATACTTATAATTAAGATTTCTAAACTATTTTATAGAAGTATTTTGGTTTCTCAACAAATTTAATAATTACCTTTTTATAGAGATCTGTCAGTTGTTGATAAAAAAGTCTTGCAGAGAGACACCCAAATCGGAGATAAGGACTGAGACCAGTTTGGCTAGGCAACAGAGATTGTGGTGTCATTTTTGGTCTTCCAAAACTAGCAACCCAAGCCTATTAAATGATTAGATTAATATTTATTACAGTATTTCCAAATATTTGATCAAAGTTTTGAACTTTAGTGATTTAAATTAATATACTTTTCTTTCCAAATGACGTTCTAATCGTATAAGAGATTCTGTTTCTCCACCTTGCCAGATGGCTGGTTTTAAACCTTCAGTATCAAAACCTAAATAAGGTAGATAAATATAAAGTATAAATTTTCAATTCTAAAATGAAAGAAATTATTAAATACTAATAATATAATAGGTTAATACCTAATTCTTCTAGAGTTAGAACACCATATTTGTCATCATGATCTTCAAAAATGGGAGTTGAAGAATTTTTTAACAGTTCTTGAGTTATGGTAGGTTGAGGTGGAGGAGGTGGTTCCATTGTTGCCAACACACTTTGAAATTGTTTATATGTGAGAGGTGTTTTGTCTCCATTTTTCTTGATTATTCTTTATGATAAATAATTATATTTCATTGCAAGTTTGTAACAGATAATAAATCAATAATGATAAATGTTAAAGAAATAAATTGTATCATAAATTAATATTCTTGTCTTATATGATAAAACTAAAAATTAACCTACTTTTCTAAGTTATATAATGTATGTGATGTTCGAGAAATGACAGTGATGCCCATTTCTTGGGCCATGACAGTGATGTTCTGATCCCGAATTCGTCCATAAGGTTCAGGATCTTTTTCAAAAGTCAAATGAGTCACTTTCCATTCCTTCAGAAAAAAATTTTTTATTTTGTTTTTCTTACAATACTTTTACATTAAATGATATAAAATTTCAAACACATTCTGAAAAGATTTACTTTAAAGAGTCGTGGAAATACATCTGCTGGCTGTCCTCTTATAACAAACAGACGTGAATTTAATTTACGTAAACTAGCATCCAGATCATCTAAACATTGTAATAAAAACCTAAAATAAAAATAGAACTATCTTGTAATAATTCAATAATATTATATGAAAACGTTTAAAAAACAAATGTATTAAACTAAAAACAGATAATCTGAAATTTGAAAATAAATAAAATGATTCATATAACTTATAATTAATTAAACTAATCATCCTCAATCTTAAAAAAAAAAAACACTTAATATTAACAACTTTAAAAGAAANATATATCATATTAATTTAGCATATATGTGACTCATAATAGATGTATATGTATATATACAGTGGTGATATTCGAAATATATAACAAAGGGTTCGCTAACAGAAAATTTTCCCTTAACAATTTTTTTTCGCTCAAATGGTGCATTAGCAACATTAGCGCAAAAACTGACCTTAAGATACCCATATACATAAAAAAGATGCGTTCGCAAAATTAAGTCAGTTAAAGTTTAACATTGTTTATGCCAGAACTATATATATATATATATAGTTCGCCTTGGTGCAACGGTTGCACCAAGGCAAACTGGGTATAAGGCTTTAGTTTAGTAGTGTTACAGAGTATAATACGTATATTTTAATATATTTTTTAAAAGAAACATAACCACTGAAAAATATTACATGTGTTTAACAATGGGTTCGGAAAACTTTGAAAATGTTAACAACGGGTTCGGCCGAACCTGTGCGAACCCGCTGAATATCACCACTGTATATATATATATATCTATAAATATTCTCAGGAACTCCACAGGATTCCACCAACCCTTTCCTCTTGCAATATTAATTTATCTTTTAAAAAGTTTGAATTAAAACAAATCTAAATGTTAAAATTAAAATTATTGGATAATATATCTACAGAAACATTTCACAAAGAATTATCACTACTCAAATAATATAAAATATATAATGTTTAACTCTTATTTAAAATCTAAACATTTTTATTATTATTTCCTACACTGAATTATGTTGAACAAATTATTACTTTTTATTAATACTAATAATAGACAAATGATTAATTATTATTATTTAAAAAAATCACCTATTTAAGTATGAAAAACCAATAACAAAATTTTCTTTTCATTACTTAAATATTTTGATTTTCTTAAATTATCACACATTTTATGTCATTCATGTGAAATATATTTTGTTTTTTTGTAAGATAATTTTTTTTTATTTTAAAAATACATTTGAGACAATTAAAATATTATTTTAATTATCTCAAATTTTAATATTTAAAATAATTATTTTAAAAAATTCATTCCCTTGCTTGAAATGAAATAATAAAATTACAATGAATAAGAATTCTACTGACTTAAATAAGTTTTATTATTGGATTTGTTTTCCTTATTTTCACTAATGACAAATTAATGAACAAATTAGTAAAAAAAAAAAAAAAAAAATTAAAATTAACTACCTTAATTAAGAAGCTTTCTTATTTAAGAGCTTTACATGATTTATTTTAATTACTGCAGACCATTAATGTAAAATAACAGGTATAAATTTTAACTTCAGCTATAAATAGTAATTTTAACACAAACAATTTAATGCTTATATTGATTAAATATTTAATGTGAATTTTCCAATCATCCAGATTAATCCAGTAATATTTCTAGGAAATATGTAAAGTTAATAAATCTGTTTATAGATTGAATTAAGCTATTCCATTAATTAAAAGTCTATAATTTTCATTCATAGACTTTTATTGAATATGATTTTGGTGTAAATATAGTCATATTCAATCTACCCACTACAACAGCTGTTCTTCCTCAACGGTTTTTTCTATTTGTGTTCTAGCTGAATTCCACAAGGAGTGCATAGACAGACAGACAATGAATGGCTTGCGTCCATCTATCAGCAGGATATGTGGAGACAATAATGTTGTCTTGACAACAGCATAAAAATGAATTAACCGCTTAGGTCTTTTTAATCTAACAAAAAGTCTATATAGTTTATGATCATTTTATAAATCTATTTAAGCAACCTTACAACTCCTGCAACAATTTAATCAAATGCTCAATGAAATAAAAAAGTTCTGATTATAAACTTTTATATGTAAATATTAATATAAATAAAATTTTTCATAAACTATAGTTAAGTTCAATAAAATTTCATAAAGTTTTTCTGCAAAGTTTTGCAATTATGCAGCGAAACAAACTTTACAGGAAATTTTGTTAAGTATTTAGTTTTATATATACAATATCTTGTATACGTTTTTACTTTATTTTTAACGCTGTATGTAAAATTACGAAATAATTTAAAATATTTTTTAAGCACGAAAGGATTAAAATTTAGCTGGTAAATTACGTAAAATTTTATTATTATTTACAAAATGAGCAATAGAAGAAATAATTTGTACATGTTATTTTCACTTTTAAATACAATTTAAATTATAATAATAATATTAATATAGTTATTATTACATGAAAGTAACGCATTTAAATTTTTTATAACTTATTGAAGTATTAAAATATTCAAAAAAATTATTACACTTACCTCCATTTATTAATGCCGACATTGGATGATCCAGCAAACCAAGGATCTAATATAAAAACACATCTCCAAGTTGTGGAATTAATTAAACCTTCTCTTAAACTGGGTTGATCGTGTAATCTAAGTCCCTTTCTAAACCAATGAACGACATTTTTTTCTTTCGAATTCGACATTTCCTCCTTCGATAATTATAATCCTATTACAAATATTTGACTCCAGCATTATATCAATATATAAGCAGTTAAGTTAAGCATCCGAGAACACAAACTATACGTCCTCACGATCTATCTCCTCTCATCCAACTGACAACTGAACCGAACGGCGAAAACTTATAAACCTGTACGTCATCTCCCTACGCGCGTGCACCTGGAAAAGAAAAACTGTTTCGAAACCGGAAAACAACCTAAATTAAGCAAGAAAAACCGGAAGCAATCACATATATAAAGCGCCTAATCAATATCCGGTCAAAATTTACCAGTTAATCATATATGGTCTTTAATTTATAAAATATGTCGCAATCGGACATCTGCACAAAGTGAAGACGGATTGCAACGTGACTTTAACTTCGACGTCTATTAGTTGACGCCGATTGGTCGGTTATGTCACGTGCAATTTTAAAAGTCACGTTGAACACTACGTGGTTGCTTTATTGCATAACGTTTCGCTGCGCAGTTAGAAATCTTGATTATGATGCAACACAACAATAATTCTTGGATAACAACACGTCACGTGGATAAACACACTTTCGGTATTATGTATCTTCGATTATTAACAGAATTAGATGTTAACATAAGAATAGCGTTGCAAGAAAATAATAATAATAAAAAAACTTACTAACATACAGACATATATACATATATATTAAACAGGTTGCTATTATTTAAAATTACCGCAAGTTTAAAAATAATTTGTTTTATACCGTAATAATTACTAAGGGCAAAAAATTTGAAAATTGTAATTAATGCAACAAAAGACATAAATGCAATTTAAATGGAAACATTTTAAACATGTTTTTAACATATTAAAAATGTTCCCATTCGAATGAATGGGAACATTTTTAAAATGTTTTAATGATTTAACAAACAACACAATAGCAAGCAATTACATTTATATATAATCGTCCATCAACGACATTGCACATTAAAATATTTTAAATTTATAAATTAAAGCTGCATTTAGATAAAATATTAATTAGAAAATACAATTAACATTAATATTAAATAATCATGCCTTTTAGGATATAGAAATTTTTTAATACAGTATTTAAAAAATGCATCATCAGATACTCAGCAAAACTTTCGGATTATATATGCAACAAACGTTATGGAACAGCGTTATTTATATCTAATATAAATTGTTGAATAACTACTACATTTACGTAAATTATTTTTTTTATAGAATATCATCATCTAATGCTGTAATAAAAAAAAAGTAATCTGCAACTTTAACTGTATAACATCCTATATTATAGCTTTAAAATGCTTTAAACTAGTTTTAAAACATTTTTAAATATGCAATATTCCTTAATATATCTATTCTAAAAATAAAATCAACAATAATAACTTTTTTTTTTTCAGTTTATTTCTAATAATATTTAAAATTTAAATATACCATTCTTTTGGAGGGTTTTTTCCTCGGTTTCCTGACGTCATTATTCATTGATCATTCTACAAATTGGAAGTTGTAGGTGGACTTGAATGGAACTTACAGCCTCTACAGGATATGTCAATGACAATTTCACTTCATCTCAATTCAATATAAATGAATAAAAGAGAGAGAATGATTGTTTATAAAATTGATGTTGTATTTAGTCTTAAAAGTTATATAAATTTCCAAACGAAAATATTTTTATTAATTAAGTATAAAAGTATAATTAAATATATTTTCTGCAAAATGATTCAATTATTATACTGTATTTAAAATATAAAAGTGTTCTATTCATTTTTTTTTGTGCATTTTTTTTAAAATAGTTAATATGTTGAAGGTAGAAGCAAATATAATCTTTAAATGATTTAAATTATAATCAATTATTGCTACTTAAAATGTGAAAAAGTTCTCAATACAATCAGAGATTATTAATAATTTTTAATGAAAAAATTCAAAAAATATTTCATATTCACTGATTTTTTCAATTTTATTTATTTGGGATATCAAGATAATTACCCAATTTTACATTAAAGTCTCCAATGTTTGTTACAGGAATATTTCTATATAATATTTTAAAAAGTGGCACAAAAGAAAACAATACATTTGGATAAAATTACAGTTGTTCATCATCAAATCTGAGACTTTATTTACGCCAAATTCATTCGGTATAAGTGAATTATCTATATATATATAATTATATACACACTGTACATGGCAGTTATAACTGCAAATTATCTGTAAGACAATAAACATGGACTATTTTTAACAATCTTTCAATGAGAGGCTGCCAAAATCACATTTAACATCAATTATTTACATGCACACAATATTTTACAAAATGACAAGAAGTGCAAGTAGTTCCTGCAATTCACTAGATGAGAGTTAATCTAAATTATACAGCTTGACTGTGAAGTCGCTTGGAAATCTTCCCATGAGTGTCATTTGGAATATTTATTTAAATTTGAAAACAACTGATTAAAAGAATTATACAAAACATATTAAATGAAATAAATTGCATTTATGGAAAAGATTTAAAACCATTATATTTCTTTTACTAAATATGCATTTTCTTTTTGGACAACACAATATTTGAATATTTAAAAATGTATAGAGATGCAAAAATTGTTGATCTATTTTCAAATATTAAATAATAAAAATTGTAAGTTTGTAAATTTTTCTATACAAATTGACATTTAGTCAAAAATTGACACTTATTCAATACGATATGCATTCTTTATATCTGTTATCAACAATTTTTATCACATATATTTATTTTGCATGATGGTGATCTTTTATAACAAAAATATACTTATGGATACAATTAATCTGAACTGTCAATCTTAATAATTTATCAACCTATTTTCATCCATTCGATTTAAACAAAGAAATCATATAAAATTTTATATAATTACAAATTTCAAGTATTAGTCTATTAGACATCCATTTCTTTATTTATACAGGCTTATTTTCAGGCTAGAAAATATGAAGGCAAATGTAAATAATAAATTAAACAATCCAATTTTAAATCTGAACTAAATTATTATTTCTGTATAAAAAGTAGAGCAATTTATTATGCTCTATAACAGGAAAATACATAATTAATTTGATAATTCCATTAGAAACAATCTGTAATTGATTATTCTTCTATATAAAAATCATAATTAATTTCATGATCAAGTATGGATTATGAAAAATTAGAGATTAAATTCCTTACATAATTCAAAGTCATGCACATCCTAAAACTGGACGAATGGAACTGTACATATCTTATATTAATATCATAGAAAGTAAAAACAGCACTCAGCACAATCAGAAAAAGACTCAAATACATTCTAAACTAAAAAAACAGGCACAATAATTTAAAAAATTTTATACGATCTTGTTAAATCATTAGGTTTACATTAAGAATGCATATATAGTTCTACCCAAAACTTTGTTAAAATACTGGGTTTAATGGCACAATAATATAGATTAGAGGTAAACCATTATTATTCTAGTTAAAATTTGTTTTGGTTTGAATTGATGATATGATTTTTATAGTCAAGACAATACAGTTTATTTTTTCTTTAACAAATATTGAACATTACTCACAGTATATTTATTTATATTGCAAATAAGAGGTATCTTTAGTAAACTTGCATGACAAATAGCAAGATTTTTATAAGTTTGCTTAATTTTATAACATTAAATTGATGTTTCTTCCATTCTACATGGAATATCTTGGGTGGGTGTAGCTGGCTCTACTGGTTTGAATGTTCCACAAGGTGACCCACTACTACTTGACATAGAATCTGTTATATCAGTACCTTCAGAAGGAACCGTTTGATCAGGGCTATTAACCATTTCAATGTTATTTGCAGGTAAACTGTAATAATAAAATTATTAATAAAATAAAAATTACATTACTACTTACATTAAAATAAAAAATGTGTCATTAAAAACAATCTGATCTTTATATACAAAATTTATGAAAAAAATTACATATTTAAATGTTACCTGTGGGCTAAAGGATGTAAAAAATGAGACCCTTTTTCTGCTGCCATAATTCCTGAATTAAGTCTTTTAGCTGGACTTGCAAATGCATCCAAACTATCTATTTCACCTTCATCTAAAGTCAAGAAGTATATAGTTTTATTTTCATTATACATTGATTTATTCTAATAATGTAAAATTTTTACTCACACTTCCGTTTTACAGAAAATTGACTTGGTCGCAATGATATTGGACTTTGGCTCCGACTGCAATTTTTAATAGATTACAAAAACTTGTATTCCATTATCTCATTTAAACATATTTACTCACCGAGTGGAAAATGTTTTCCTTGTAGGACTAGGACTAGGAGTGGGGGAATAACTTGATGACCTCACTGGTTGACATGTTGATGGTGAAAAACATTGCTGTTTAAAAAATTATCAAAACTTATGTTGATGTTGATATTTATTACAAAATTTTCACACACATTCAGTATTCAGCTAATAACAGTTAAAAAAAAAATATGGCTAAATAAAATTAGGATTAAACTACTAATGTGAATTTTATCTTTTGCTTAAAGCAAGTTAACCTATTCATTTCAAACTTTATCCAAGCATATAAAGTTCTCATTATCCAAAAGCAGATGGATGAAGCAAGAATAAACTTAAAATTTAGGATTTAACTGAATAATGTGGGGTCTCCCTCCCATTGTTTAGATAGCAGTAAATACTGAAGTTGTCTTTTTTTAAGCATGAGCATGACACGGATAGCAGGAACTGGGCAATGCTGCCATATCTAGCAATTTATTGCCAGCTGGTAATATGGCAATGATTTTTTTCAGTGTTTGGAATGGATATGTCTATAATGTATGTGATTTTATTGTGTTTATCAATGAGTGTGATGTCTGGTCTGTTGTGATAAATTGTTTTTATCTGTGATTATGGCTCTATCGTAGTACATTTTGTGCATGTTGTTTTCCAATACTGTCTGTGGAATGTATTTGTAGTATGGTTCATGGATGTCTAATAATTTGTGTTTCTTTGCAAGCTCTTGGTGTATTACATTTGCTACTTGATTATGTCTATGTAAATAATCTGTCTGTGTCAAGAGCTTGCATCGGAAGTGATGTGCTGTATCTTTGAGTATGTGCTTTCTGTAGTTTTTAGTATTTATGACCTGATCCTGTATGGCAATCATGAATCCTTCCGTCTCCCCAAAGAGACATCCCTGAGCTAACCAGCTGTTTGATACAGTTTTGTTAACAAAATTTTATAAAGCTACTTGGATCGTGCAAAAATTTATCATCATAAAATTAATTGTTATTTTTATTTATTTCCAGGTAACTATTTTATATTTTACTTTACTATTATTATTCTCGCACCATCCAAGCTCTAAGCTATCACATAATTTTTTAATTTCTGTTTTATTTATTTAAAACTTAATATTTTAAATATATTCTAAACATATTTATATTTGATCATATTCAATTTTGTAATATCAACTGTTCATATTTGTAATACAGTAGAGCATCGATTATCCGACTCAATTGGGGACTCAGGTTGGTCGGATAACAGAAAAATCGGATAACCGAAAAAATGAAAAAAATACATTATTAGTATAGCCCATGTAATTAGTATATTAGTATATTGCTATTAACCAACTTCGCATTGAATTTCCATCGATGTTAAGCCTAACAAATTTTTTTTAAAAATAATAATCGTCGCTATTGTATCGTTAAAAATTATTTTTAAATTATTTTATTGCTCACAAAACAAACAACCACTCATAATTAGAAAATTAAGTCTTGTTTAAATACTGGCCGCCCTTTAATGGTCGAGACAATGTTGCCAGCTAAAACATGCAAAAATTTAACAAAAATAATATTAAAGTAGCCAAGACATAGCCAAATATGGGCTATTGTAGTGCCACATCACTAGTGGACATTTGAAATTTGCCAACTAGAACGGTCGGTTAATCAATGTGATGGTTAATCGGGGGTCGGATAATCGATGCTCTACTGTATTGTAAAATTCTAATTTAATTAGCATTTAAATGATACCTATCAATAGCCTTAAAATCTTTCTACAAAATATAAGATCCGTTAAAAACAGATGTCTATACCTAACTACAATTCTAAATGACTTTTATAACTTGTATATTTTTACTGAAAGTTGGCTAACTCTTTATTCATATGATGTTTATAATTATTTAGAACAATTAGGTTATTCTTATTTTTCTATTACCAGAGAACACTAACGAGGTGACGGTATCTTAATATTATACCCCTTCAATCCAGGTTTAAAAAATTTTTGAATATCTAGACCAGGGTGGCCAACAGTTTTTGACCCCGAGTCGAATTGGAAAGAAAACTTTTTCCACGGGCCGAACCAGAGGCTGCCCTAGGAAGATTTTGAGGTGGTGCGAGATCTTGTGGTGTCACCTCATAGAGACTATATTGTAGACAGAGATTACAGATACATTTTTCACATTATCATGCTTTATCAACATTCTACGCTGTAGTTACGAGATTTGCAATGGAGGGTGGGTTAACTCTGAATGTACAGTGAGTTGCTGACCTTTTTTTTTTTTAGACGTCAGAATTTTTCATTGAACTATTCGGACTTGAGTAGCTAATAATGAAAGATTAATCACGGGCTGTATGTTGGCCTTACCTAATCTAGACTGTATTCTAATAATAAAATTACCTGTATATTGTTTAATCATAATTATCATTTATGCTCCCCACAACAGTAGGGAAAAAGTTTTCTGCATTTTACATCAGTACCTTGGGACAATAGACAATTTTAGTAATAATAAGATAATACTATGTGGTGACTTTAATTTAACTAATATTGGATGGTCAGTGAATGACCTCTCTTATTCCCTGATCCTGAAAAAATATTTTTTATTAATGATATTTATTATTTTTTTAATTTTTTCCAAAAGATACGTTTTCCTACAAATTTTAATTCTCTTTTTTAGATTTAGCTTTTACTTCAAATTGTAATCTTACTGCCAGCCCTGTGGTCAAGGTTTCCAGTCTGACCACATGGCTATCTGCCTAGATGTCACTATAAGACTAATTAAAAATCTGTCTAAGCATTTTGCTAAAATACCTCTATGGACACGTTTTAATAATATACAAGCTTCAAAATTCATCTGCTCTAATGATTGGCCATTTCTCAAATCTCCTATTATGTCCATACAAGCCATTACAGATCAGATATATGACATTTTCTATTCCACCATGTATAAATTCCTTCAATATCATTCAATTGATATTTCCCCTCGTAAATGGTTTACTCATCACTTAAAGTTCAGAAATGCAACCAGAAAACAATGGCCAAGTGGAAATGGAGTGGAAACCTTCATGACCTTTATCTACACCATATACTTCAAAAACAATTTTACAAAGAATGCCAAGTTTCCTTCAAAAATTACTTTACAAATGTCATTTCTAATTTTTCCTCCGACCCATACCTTTTGGGGATTCATTCTTAAGTTCTCCCGTAAAATACCCAAGAAAACACAACATATACCTGATGACATGATATATGACATCTACAACAATATTAAATCTAGATTTTTTCACATTTTACCCAAAGCTGAATTTTCTTCTCTTTCACATAATAATTTTAACAACCATTTCAGTTTATTGTTTCTAGAAGTCAAAGATGCTATTGGCAAATTAAAACTGTCTAATTTTAGTTCAGATCATGTACCTGCCATATTTCTATCCAAATTACAACCTTCTACATGCATCACGCTGTCCAAGCTCTTTTCCAGATTATTCCAACATAACTTTATCCCGAAACAATGGCATTCTTCTACAATAAAAGTTATCAGTAAAAAAGATACTAACTTTTTCAGACATATCACCCTATCTCCAGCAATGCTAAAATTATTTGAAATATGTATTTACCAGAAAATATATACACCAATAACTTCTAAACTATATCCTATACAGCACTGTGGTATTGTCCATCATTCAACTAACACTAACCTAACTGAAACACTTTTCACCATTTTAGATAATTTTGAAAATAGAAAAGCAACCTATATCATTTATCTTGACATTTCACAACCTTTTGATTCAGTTCTACGTAACATGCTTCTTCATGTTCTCTGTGAATATTTTGATATTAACTCTGTTTTATTAGCTTGGATAAACTACTTTCTAGCAAGACTATGCAAGGTAAACCCAAATGATTTTGAATTTCTAGTTTACCTCCTGTTAGTGACATTCCACAAGGTTCAATTTTGAGCAGTCTATTTTTCTCTACATATATTAACAATCTCTTCAACAATATTAACTCTAAAGTTATAGCTTATGCCAATGACATAAAACTTCTAAATCATGATCCAAACGTTTTACAAACTGACCTTAAAATTCTTTCTCTGGTTTTTAGTAAAGTAAATTTAAAAATCAATATTCATAAAACCATCATGATGTGTCTCTTTCTGATTAGAAATCTGCCACTTCCACATTTTTATATCTATAATCATATTCTAAATTGTGTAACTTCATTTAGTGATCTGAGAGTCGTTTTTGAAAGTAAATTAACTTTTAAAGATCATATAGAAAAAACAGCAAAATCTATCACAATCAGCCGGGGAATTTTATGGCACTTTTGTAAACTCATATCACCAAAAACTGTTCTTAGGACAATATTTTTTACAAACTTTCAGTCCTTAATAGATTATTGCTTACCGATCTTGGCAATGACATTTTCTTATTTACTAAATAAGGTTATTAAAGAAATACACAAAGTATAATGGTATAATGAAATTATACCACTATACTTTGTGTATTTCAAAGCATAATAGTATAATGGAATTGAAATAGAAATTTATACTAGATAGATATCCAAATAGATTACTAAAACAATGGAAAGAAAAAAATAAATACAGAAAAGAAGAACCTCCAAAGAAGAACAAAAATTCATAGGTTAAATACATGGTCTTTTCATATATAAAAGATCTATATGAGGAGATTAGCAAAGAAATAGAAAAAAATTAATGTAAAGTTAGCACCAACATACGAAAAATTACATTCTAGAATTAAGAAGATACAATCTGCACAAAAAGAAAAACAAAAAACAGAAGAAATCAATAATATAGTTTACTCAATTCCATGTACTGTACATGTAGCATCAAAAAATATTATATAGGAGAGACTAAACGAAAAATAAAAGTTAGACTTAAGGAACATATAGTAGATCTAAAATACTGCAGAAACAACTCAGTGTTCTATGAACACTGTACAGTATATAGACAAAGACAATATAAAAATTTTACAAAAAGAAAAAGATGCACACAGTAGAAAATTTACAGATAGCATAGAGATTCTGAATAATAAAAACAGTATAAACAAAAATCTTAGCATCAAAATAAATGAGAACTGGTTACAAATATTGTAAAGAAA